ATAATTTTAAAGATGAATGTGTACATGTGTGTCTTAGGGTGATGATACCACATTCTAGCTCAGGCGAGTAGCTAACACTCTATCACAATGCACCTTGTTGTACAAGGGCATCTCTTTTGGCAAAATAAGTATGCCCCAGAAAAGTTTCACATGACTTAGAGTTATGCAAATGCTATTATATTTTAAAATGCTCAAGATCTCAATATTTAAATGAATTGTATGTTAAGTCTTCTTTCTTTTAAAAAAAATATATTTTATTGATTTTTTACAGAGAGGAAAGGAGAGGGATAGAGAGTTAGAAACATCAATGAGAGAGAATCATTGATCAGCTGCCTCTTGTACACCTCCTACTGGGGACGTGCCCACGACCCAGGTACATGCCCTTTACCGAAATCGATCCCGGGACCTTTCAGTCCACAGGCCGACGCTCTATCCATTGAGCCAAACCAGTTTCGGTGAGTCTTCTTTCTTTTAATCTAATAATTGCTTCATAATTTATCTGTTTTTAAATTTAACTTCTCATATATTGTTAACACATTTAACGGGGATTCCAAAACAGCTAGGTTCCAAATAACCTGAAAATTTTTCCCAGTCCTATCAATAGCATTTTATATTCAAAGCAACCAATTTGAGAGTATAAATCTTTAAATGCCATCTTATGCTCATTCTGGTTTTAATGCTAAGCACACTGTATTTATTGTTTTAGTTGCTTGTCCACCTGAATTAGACTCCTCTGAGGTGTTCATTAAAATGCATATTTAGCATGTTTTACTATTTCAATCAAAGGTTATTGCAAGAAAAGAAAGCTCAGGGCCTAGGGTCCCACCCAGACAAACTAAATCAGCATCTCTGGGGGTAGGGAGCAGAGCTCTGTATTTTCCACATTTGCCAGGTCCTTTCTATGCATGCCAAGGTGGGAAAACTACTGGCTTGGAGTTTATATTGCCAAACTATTCAATTAGTGAAAGTGTCCCATTCCTGGACAAATCTTGATTCTCAGGCACTTACTGTTTCACAGATATGAATCCTAATTGTATTTGTTACAACATGATCTGACCTGTAGACTCAAATGGATTTTTCTGCTTTTCTAACTGTGATCTTCCTCCTTCGCTTTCTATAATTAAAACCCTTTAAAAATCAACAGGAACTATAAGAACAAAATTTTAAAGGTTAAACCATGGGGCACACTGTCTGTTAAAGATGGCTCTCCTATTAATATTTCCAGATTAGCTTTTAGTGAAGAGCACACACAGAGACACACGCCCCCACTGCTTCAACTTGCAGCTCTAGCTGAACATTAGGTACTCAAGTAACAACAATCATGCACCCTCCTTCCTTTGTTAATGTATTCCCACCTAACCACCCACAGCCAGAGCTTCTACAGAGAAAGTTCATAGCCACCCTTCGTGAACAGGAGTTCCTATTCTCAAATCTCTTGGAAAATGCTTTTCTTCACCCATGGAGAATCTGAATCTTGGCTTAAGCATTATTAGCTAATCAGTAAGAAATATTTCACTAAATGCAGCTACCTGAAACACACAAAGTCACACAGACCCTAATATTGCTTTTCTAAGCCACCAAAATGCAATCTCCACTCCCTTTCCTACCCCCACCCCACCTTGCTTGTGTTTAAAAGTAAAATCCAATTCTGCTGACGACTGGTTTTCTGATCTCACCACAGGAAATGGACTGGGTGAGTTCTCACATCATATGTTTAACAGAGGGCACCAAACTGTGTCTGTGGGACACCTGCTCTTTTAGGGGAGCCCTGCTGGCCCTAAAACTGTAAAGCCACGCCCCCAGGCCACCTTCAGCTCCTGGGAGTCCATCCCACGTGATGCCCTAGCTTTGCTAGTGCTCTTGAGAAGGCTGACTATGGAATTACTGACCTAGGCAACAGGCGACAGGCTTGTTCACTGCTGGCTTGTCAAAGGCATCCATCTTTTACCCCTTTCCCTCTCTTTGCTTCTCTCTCTCTTCCCCACCTCTCAGAGAGAGAGAGAGAGAGAGAAAGAGAGAAAGAGAGAGAGAGAGAGAGAGAGAGAGAGAGAGAGAGAGAGAGAGAGGGAGAGAGAGGGAGAGAGAGAAGAAAATGAAAACAAATACATCTGACCTATTTGCTATTCTAAAAAATATATATTAAAAGAATGAACCATCCTAAAATACCTTCCTATTTTCCCAGTTACAATTTAGAATTCATTTGATATTGAAAATATGATCCAAATTCTAGAGTTAGGTTTTGGGGTTTAACAGCAGTGTGTGTAGATCCAAATGAGATTTTGTTTGTTTTTCTTTCCTTCCCCCTACCCAGCTTTATTGAGGCATAACTGATAAATAAAATTGTATATATTTAAAGTGTACAATGTGATGGTTTTATATAAAATGAGGTTTTATGTGCCCTGGCCAGTTGCTCAGTGGTTAGTGTCAGCCTTCAGACTGAAGGGCTGCAGATTTGTCAAGGGCACGTATCAAGGTTGTATCAAGGTTGCCAGTTCTCTAGCCCAGTAAGGGCCAGTAGGGGAGGCAACCAATCCAGGTGTCTCTCCCATGTAGATGTTTCTCTCTCTTCCCTCCTTCCCAGCCTCCCTCCCTCCTCTCTCCTCTCTCCCTCCTTTCTCTAGAAATCAATGGAAAAACATATCCTTGAGTGAGGATTACAATAAATAAGGTTTTGTATGTAAAGAGTGCAGCAGTTTCCAAAGTGAGGATTGCATGCACCCTGGGAGTGGGTAAAACAATCCACTGAGGTATGGAAAGAAACTATTTGGACTCTTGTTTCCTATTTATTTATTTAAAATAAGAAAGGAATTAAGTGTTACAAGTATTCAATAAACAGGCTGTCATTGGCACCTCTCTCAGTGTGAATATCAGACAACAAGGTGAGCTACCCTGAGGGAGGAGGGAAAGTTCCAAGCAGCAAAAGGTTGATGGTGGAGCATTTTATGTAACCAGACTGTCTTATCTAGTTTTACTAGTAACTAAATTAGCCCAAACAAAATAGACAAGTAGTTCAGAAAGACTACTGCTGAGAACCACAAATTGAAGATGATCCTAATAATGTAAGCACAAGTCAGCAATAAGAAAACAATAGAGTTGACACTTGTAACTCTTAGGATGCACTTTTTGTCAGCCACATGGCGAGAGCAACATTAAAAAACAATGATGTTCACTGGTTGGGCTTCAGCCCATGAACCAAGAGGTCACTGGTTATATTCTCAGTCAGGGCACATGCCCAGGTTGTGAGCTTCATCCCCAGGAGGCAGCTGATCAGTGATTCTCTCTCTCTGTCCCTCTCCCATCCTCTCTTCCTAAAACAAATACACACACACACACACACACACACACACACACACATCCTATATAATAAAAGCTTAATATGCTAAGTGTTTGGTTGTCTGTTCAACCAATCAAAGCATAATATGCTAATGATATGCTAAGGTTGCTCAACCGCTCACTATGATGTGACTACCAGGGGACAGATAGTCAACCAGTCAACCAGTTGCTATGATGTGCACTGACCACCAGGGGCAGATGGTCCAACAGGTAGGTTAGCTTGCTGCTGGGGTCTGGCCAATTGGAACTGAGCAAGACAGGCCAGGCATGCCCTGGAGCCCTCCTGCGGTCCCTCCCCTGCTGGCCAACCTCCCACATCCCTCCCAGGGCCTGATCATGCACCCATGGGTCCCTCGGCCTAGCCTGTGCCTTCTTGCAATCTGGGCTAAGGAGCCCTTCCTCCCCCCCAGTGCACAATTTTCACACACTGGGCCTTTAGTATGTATATAAAAGGCTAATATGCTAAGTGTCTAATCATCTGACTGGTCACTATGATGTGCACTGACCACCAGGGGGCAGATGCTCAATGCAGGAACTGCCAAGTTGTAGTGACTTGGCAGCAGAGGTTCTCAGGTGATGCTCCCCAAAACCAGAGAGGAGGGAGCCTGATTCCTTGAGGGGCTGGGCAATTCCATCTTCTGCTGTGGGTTATGTTGTTGCTGGGGCACTGTCAACCTCAAATCTGGTTTACTGCACACTTGCGTTTGCGTTCTACACCCTGTATGACAGCAACTTTGCAGAATACCTTCTCGTTCTCTGGGACCCCTTGGGGGATGTCAGAGAGCCAGTTTTGGCCCAGTCCCCCAGGCCAGGCCGAGGGACCCCACCTGCCTGAGGGACCCTACTCACTCTGCAGATGCTGGGGAGGGACTGCAGGCATTTGGCTCCAGGGTGTGTCCGACTCCACCCAGTTCCACCCTACTGGCCACCTTTTAATTAATTTCCTTTCTATGTGCATGAATCTGAGCACCAGGTCAATGATGCAATGGCAATCTAATCATCTGGGAATAAGTCATCCAAAAATATTCAAAATTATCTAGTGGATTATCTGAATTAGGATTTATAGCCACTATTTTAAATGACAGACTTCATATGACATGCATATCATTCTTTGCAATTTAATTAGTATTAATATAAAGATGTTAAAATTACTGTTGATTTCACTGTATCTAAATTTTGAATGTCCACTTTGCATATTTTATAAGCAGGTACATAATTTATAAAAGAACAAATATACGTATTTTAGGAATAAATATTCTACACATTTTTCCTGATAGGAGTGCAGGATCACTTTTGATATCAGAGTGTAAAGCTGCCAGGGTCCTTAGATTTCAGGTAAGATCAGGAGACTCTATTGTATATTGGAAAGCAGATGCCCACAGAGGAATGCTCCAAATCACACTGCTAGTTAGGGATGGAGATGCTTAGTCCAGTGTTCTTCTTAATGAGCTAAGAGTTGTCTTTGTATTATTTATATATGTGTGTGTGTATATATATATATATATATATATATATATATATATATATATATATATATATATATATATTTAAAGGAGGAAAACTGCGCAAACACTAGAAACTCAAACCAAATTGAAAACTATTGAAGTAGAACCCAAATGTCTGTAGCCAGCAAGCTACTGAGACCCACCTATGTCTTTTATACTTACAATAACTCCTGGGTAATAACCTCCAACAGTCACATTCTGGGTCCTGGTGGTTGCAGCAAGGCCCACCGTGAGAATTAACACGGACACTATCAGCAAAGTCACGGTGACATAGATGGAGTTTCGTTTCCTCCGATTGAAGGCTCCTGAAAGTACACAGAGGAAATGAAATTGCTCATTTTGACTGAGGAAGAGATGGACACAAAGAAAAAATCACTAGGAAAGTGTTCCTTTCCTATCCCAACTGGTAACTGGGGTTATCTCTGGGGCGTGGAATTGTGGGGAAGAAATGGAGCTTTAGGTTTTTTGGCTGTCATCAGGTGCCACATTCACAATAAAAAATATATTTCCTCTTTGAAAATAAACAACAGAAGAAATATTACCAGTTACATAAGAACAGCAAATTTTTGTGCTTTCAGCACTCTATAAAAGATGTGTCAAACCCACTTAGTAGAGTGTTTTTTAGTCTAAATTATAAGGCATATGATAAATGGGAAGTGTGCGTGTGGAAGTATTAAATGAAAATATTTTAAAGCCAGTGTGTAACTAAGAAGGGCTTTTTTCATAAGCTGGAGATATGAAATTTCATTTTCAGTGTAAATATCAGAACCAAGCTAGGAACTGGGATTTTTTTTTTTCATTTATTTCTGACATTTGCCACCTCATGTATAAACTTTAAAATGATGTGTTAGCAAGATTTGTCACATAACAAATGTGTGTAATAAAGTAAGTGTTTAGAGGCCATTAGTCCGCAAAGATATGTATCAGGGGAGGTAGATGGGGAGGATTATAACTTATACACTTATAAGCTTATGTGAGGATGACATAAATATAAATGATGATAAACCCGTTCTCCTACTCAGTGCTTATCAGACATGATCGTGCAAACCAATATTTTTTTTCTAAAACAGGCTTATTAAATCAGAAAAAAAATGGTATCTAGACTAGCTTTTCAATTTAATTTTTTTTTAAAGAAATCAAACACTGGAGCACTGCTCCATACTCTGCATGCATTTCTCTGACCTGGGAGGGGCTCCCAACAGGAAATAACAGGCACGGGTTATCCTATGAGAATCTAGCTCTCTAGTGAGGATGAAGCAGAGGGGAGCCTTCTGATGGGGTCGCCCACCCAGTGGCTTGACTGTTATTTATGGGCCTAAAGAGGCCGCTTGGGCCTGTTCATTGGATCCCGTCATTGGGGAGGCCTCACTGCAGCCTTAGGAAGCTGCTGCCAAATGAAGCTGCCTAGACTGCACCATTAGGAAGGAGGGGAGAGAGGGGTTGAGGAAAGAGGGAAGGAGGGAGAAACTGTTGAGATTCAAGAGGCCTGGTGGTGGTGATAGGGAGGGGTGGTTGCTGACCCTTCAGCCCCCAGCAGACATCCCCTTCTATAGGAAGAAAATCGTCAAGAGTGCCATTCTGGATTAGCCCCACCATCCATCTTGTCTTCCCTAGTGCAGTCCCTGCAAGGCTCCAAGGGATGTGGGAGGGGCTGGCGGTCTCCCCTGACGTCAGCCTTGAAAGTGAGGGGCATGACTCATCCAGTCATTTCTAATAGGATATTAGTCTAAGACTACTTTACATTGAAATGTAGAAATGGCATGAGCATTTATAGGTACCCACTCTGCACCCTATTGCACCCGGGGTGGAGGGGAGGGAAATAAGGCTCCCTTCCAGTGGTGCCTAAGTCCAGCCTACACAGGAAAACAGAAAGGACTGCTAGAGACATCTGTGACATCAGGGCCCGTTGTGTGAAAGGGGTCTTTGGGATGCAAACGGCAAGCAGACTGATGGTAAACATGATGAGCAAGCCTGGGAGAAGCCAGACTACAAGTGGTTCAAATAGAGGAGCAGGACTTATTTCATCTGTTTACCTTGAAGATTAGTTATCCTTCCTCTGGGTTTTGAGGGGATCGAAATGATTCTCTAAACAAGGGCCCCGGCATCTATTCAATAAGAGATACTTCTCAGTGAATCTTCCAGTTGGTTTCACAGAGGGGCTTTGAGCTAACCTTACCAACATCACCTCCCATTCCTGTCTGTCTTTCTCCTTTGTCACTCATACCATCTCTGCCCCAAACTGGCAAAAGAGAGTAAGGGAAACATCTAGATATACCAAGATTATCTTTGTGACACATGAAAGTGTTTCAACACCTCATATGTAACCTTAGAGACTTAATTGGGAGAGTGTATGTGTGCATGGTCTTTCTGATTTTTTTTTTTTTTTTTTTTGTATTACTCACCTGCTCCTTCCCCAAATGGCTTTTGATCCTATTCACAGCCTTTGGGTCTCCTTTGCAAATATCACTCTAACTCTTAAAAGCACAGGAACCAGGTCAGAAAAGTGACTCAGCAAACCACAGTGTCATTTGAAAATCTATTTTTTCCCCCTGCTTAGAACCTGAATTGAAAATCCAGCCAGCTGAGAAACCCAGGCACAGATCCTAGAGCTCCACCGGGGCCTTGCCTCTAGTTAGGATTTGCTTTGGGTAAAATTCCCAAGAAAACTCTCCCATCACTAGGTTGAATATCTATTCTCTGTCCCCTCCTCCTCCCACACGTCACCCCTTATTTTACACTCTACGAACCGAACCGTCTAGTTGCACTTGGGGAATGGACCATTTTAAGAAAGCTGGGGGTGAATCCTTTTGAAAAGTGTGACGAATCAACCCTCTATTTATCTTTAATGTTAATTTGACTCAAAAGTCACATCTACTTAGAGCAAGACACACCTTTTCTCTGAAGCTATGGCCAGGCTCCTAAAAGGCAATTCATGTGTCTGCTTAGGACGTTTTCCTGGTGGTTGTTTTATTTTGTAAAGTAGAGTCCTATTCTTATTATAGTACTATTTGGGACCTGTTTTAGATGTTCTTGTAAACAGAGGATCATCTGATTCCGAAAGTGTCTAGTAAATGAACAAATCAAAAAACCTCAAATACCACAAAGTACTTAAATAAAGCAGCAGGTACTTGAAAATAGTGCTTATCACAATGTTTGATACCTAGTGAGCAGTCAATACTTGTTGAATAAATAAGAGGCAACATCTCAGAATTGCTTCCTTTCTAATAAAAAAGGCCGTGTGTGTGTGTGTGTGTGTGTGTGTGTGTGTGTGTGTGTGTGTGTTAAATATGGAATTGATTTTTTAAAATAGGGTACACCTGATGGCTCTCCAGAACTAAAAGCTTTCTTGCCAACTAGTGTCACATCCCCAATGTCTCTCACTAGCCTGTCTACTTGGTGCCCAGCATATTCCAGTTTGAATAACAATAACCTCCCCTGTGACTGACAGCAATGGGAGAGTCTGAAATCCCCGTCATAGGCATTGCCTGCCCCCCCCCCCCCCAGGTCTGGGCAGCTTCCCTGCAGAACTACTGCAGCCCTCCTTCTCCGCAGTGCCCCCCCCCTCCAGATTAGCGAGGACCCGGATGCTCAGCTCTACAAGCACCCAATTATTTGCTGTCTCCACCCTTTCAAATACAGTCCCTGGTCAGAGTCCCCCCCCACTCCATCCCCACACTGCAGTTTCTGATCTTGATCTTTCCCTTCCTCTGAAACCTGTTCAAAGTCACCTCCCCCAAGTTTTTCTTGGCCAAGCTCACTCCACTGGAATCACTCATTACTTCATGTCCCTATGTACCTTACTCAATAAGTATATCAATTATAACTGCTACAATTATAATTGTAATTGTGAGTATGGTCCACAACTCATCTAATGCCCACCAGTTTCAGGATTATGTATCTGACAGGAACCAAGGTGTGGGTTGTCAGTAGGTAAGGTGATTGTCTCTGCTCACTTGTGTTTTACCTTGTACATGTTTTTTATTATAAATTATGTAATCCCAGTGCAGGGAGGATGAGGGGGGCAGTATCCTGTCTTGTGCACTAATTTGTTGTTGTTGATGATGGGCTAATTTTTTAGGTTGATCTTTTGAATTGATTAGGATTTGCTTACCTTAGCTTTGCCACACGGGGTGGGGGTGGGGGTCATAGGAAGTCCCAGCCTTGAGTATCCATGGAAACAGGTGGCTGCCCACAGAAGAGCCTCAAGACTCTGCCAGTCTCCCAAACATTTCCTTAAAGGCACTGAAATCCCCCCATCCTCATGGGCAAATCTTTGACCAGAGACACCCACCAGTGAGTTACCAAAGTGTTATTTGGGAGGGAAGGAGTGCCCTGCTGTAGTAGAGATGCCTTAGCTGCTGGGGGTGGTGTTGCTAAAAGGGAAAAAGGGGTGCTGAGAAGGGATAAAGGGATAAAGGGACGCTGGAGTCAGATTACCATCTTTCTATTGCCAAGTGTCTGCTCAGCTCCAAGCTATGGACTAACCATCCATCCCCAGGCAGCGAGTAAACAAGTAGCTCAGCATATAGTGCAGGCACCTCAGTTCAGTGTATCTGTGTGTTTTAAATTTTACTGTTTTGTTTGTGGTTGTGTCTTGCCCGTAGGGAGAATCCCCTCAGAAATGTTGCCCTTGAAGACTGACCCCTGCACTTCCCTTCTGCTCCATGCAAGGGAAGGTGGTGTTGCCAGAGCTAAGTGGGAGTAGCTCCTAAGTAGTCTAGACACCCTTGCCCACAGTGTGAAAATTCATGGTTACCACTCCACTCGGGTTTGCTTGCGCCCTGGATCTGCGGACTTTCCAAAGAGGGATGCATAGAGCATACTCCTACTCCAGAAGGGATCCATGATTCTTCTCCCGCAGTATCTGGAGGAAGCCCACTCGGCTTCCTGTTGCGCAGACCTTTCAGGAAATGCGAGGGCCCCTGGGAGCCCAAGAATCTCTTCATTTTGTTCCCCAAGCCCACAGAGCAGTGTGCCAAGTAGCAACATTTTTAAGCCCTGGGTTACTAACCTGTGTACTCCTCCACAAGCGGATGGCCGGGCGCGCGAGAGAGGTTGGACTGCTTGGCAGGTGGTTGTGGTGGCTGCAGGCAGTGTACTGCGGACCCCCACCCCCCTACACTGCATTCCCCTGCCCCCTCCCTCCAGCCCTCCTGCGCAGCTGCCTAGAGTCTGGGAGCCAGGGCAGCTTTGGCGCCACAGCTGGCCAAGGCGAGGAGTGCATTGTGTGTGCTTGTGTGTGCGTGTTAGGGAGAGAGATGGGGGAGTCTGGTACTGCTGGGTCCTGGTTCTGACCCAAGTCCTTGGCCTCATTTGTACCACGTTGCAAATAACTATGCCCTTAAAAAAGGCAAATTATTATTCTGAACATGCAAAACCAATAAAAATATGGAAACTATATTTTATGAGAGGTCCCTCCAGTGAACTAATTCTGCTGAGACCTAGTCTTTTGGCAGCAATAGGGAGCTCACAGACTGGATGCAATCCTCTCCCGCCCTTTCTCGCCAGGTGTTCCCGCAAATTCTGCGGAGAAGACCTGAGCAGACTGGATTGCAAGAATTCAAGACGGAGGGATTTTGCAGAATGCAAAGTATGTTGGAACGAGAGAATTCTATTTGGTTAAAGTGTATTTGAGGCTATTTTTAAGATTAGGTGGGATCAGGGTTTAACAATCCCCTCCCGCTCTCCTGGGCTCCAAATTAATTTCTACGCCCAATGAAATCATAGGGCTTGGGAAGGTGCCTAACAGCTGAGAAGAACTGGGTTTGTGTTTTGTTTGTAACTGAAAAAGCAGCTTTGAGGGGCAGCCAATTTAGTGCCTGGAGGTAGCCATCCCCCAGTTTTGATGAGGAAAGGTGTTGAACCAAATCAGGCTAGTGGATTTCCGCTGCACCTCTATTCCATCCAGAGAGGGAAACTGCGATTTCAGAAGATGCGCGGGCTCAAGCTCGATCTTTCTTTCTCGTGCTCTCGCCCGCCCCCCTCCCAACACACACACACACACACACACACACACACACACACACTCCATATCTTGTATTTGGAGCAGAACAGGAATCAAATTCAAGAAATGTTGATGCTGCCACTGCAGACGGCTGGGCTGGACTGTCTTGAGTGATTCTTCAGGAATTCCCCTCCCTCCAGCCCCACCTCTTTTCTTCCCCCACCCGCCCATCCCCCAGGGTTGCGCAAACCTCCCCGTCAGAGAGGTGCAAGTCAGTCTCCCTCCCACTACAGCTCTGAATTTCGGGGCAGCTTCCATGGAGTTGGGAGGGGGCGCGGACCCCGCTTCTTGTAATTATTGTTATTATAGAGCTCTTAGAAGTGACGCCGACTTTGCAAAGAGAGACCGTCGAATGGAAAACGAAGTCGCAGGTTGCAGGGAAGTGTTTTGATACCCAGACAGCTGGGATTTACCACGGGCTGCAAGTCTGTTGACACACTCACACAAACACACTCACACCCACACTCCGGGCCAGGAGATTCCCAAGCTAGCTGGGGCTCCAACCTCATCACTTTGCCCCCTCCCCTGCTGGGCCGCTCCCCTGGGGCTCTGGTCCTAGACTCAGAGGCTGGGGCATGCGGACCCCCTCCTTAACCCAGCTCCCTGCCTCTCTAGGCAGTCAGGGCACTCCCTGTCCAGAAGGCAGTGTACTCACCCCTTGCTGCCGCCGCCTAGGAAGAGCGTCTGGACTTACCCATAGAATCGGGCAGAGACATATCGCTGGACCGCTGCTGAGTCAGGGACTGATGCATGGTGAAAGCTGCCCTGTTGCCCTGGCCAACGAGGCTGCTTCAGGCGTCCCTGGCTCAGGGCGCCTCCAAGAGCATCCTACACCTCGGCAGCCGCTCCCCCTCTCTCTCAGAGAGAAGACTGCCTGGGTTTGCGAGCTGCAGCTCAAGTGCCGCCTCCTCCTCCCCTCTCCTCTCCTCCCTCCCTTCCTCCCTCCTCTTCTGCCTCCCTCTGGCAAGGGAGGCAGCAGCATTGGCGGTCCAGCATTGGTGTGCGCTTGCGCAAGACCCCCTTCCCTCCCCCTCAACCCCCCCCCCCCTCATCCTAGTTATCCACCTCCCAGCCTCCCAAGCCAGACAGGGAGCCGTTTTTTGCCCCTTGGGGCCAAGGCTGCGCAGAGAAAGAGGGGGAGGCTACAGCCTGGGACCAAATGGCCTTCTCTGTAGTTTGGAGAAGGGTCTTGGGCAAGCATCGTGTTCTAGGATTTATAATTGGGGGGTGGGCAGAGTCTGAGGTTCAGAGCTGAGTAACACACACACACACATACACACACACACACACACACACACACACACACACACACATTTGTGCAGGTTTGGTTTTAGTGCTTCCAGAATGACATAATGGAGCTGGACATGATCCAGAGAAGGGCCACTCTATAATCAAGGGGATGGAGGCGGGTGGAGGGGACTGCCATATGAAGATAGATTAAACAAACGCAGACTCTTTAGTCTAGAAAGATGAAGGCTAGGAAGGGATGTGACCAGAGTGTATAAAATTATGCAGAGATGGAAAGAGGGAACACAGCCTTATTCACATCTGAGAATTCTAGAACCAACAGTATCCAACAGCTAGAAGGAGATCCAGCTAAAATAAATCTGAATCTGTATCAGTTCCTCAGTTTGTGCTTTTGTTGAAGGAGCTTTTAAGTCAAACACATAATTTTCTCATCTTAGCAGCCATGCAAGGCAGAAAGAGGAGTTATGAAGAACCCCATTTTACAGATGAAAAACCTGACTCTCAGAAAGGAATGAAAATTTCCTGTAGTCACTCAGCTAGCAGGTGGAAGAGGTGGGATTTGAACCCAGTTCTGTTGGACTCCCAGACCAGTGATCTTCCCACCATGGCAGCTGAAAATAAATATTAATCTATGTGCCATATAAAAAAACCAAGGAATTCATTAGCCCCAACAAGTGAAATAGGATGAAAACATAAGTAGCTTTGGAAAGAGTGATAAAGTCGAGGCTAGGAGATCCACTGTGGATTAAGGAAAACTGGGGATGAGGTGGGAATGTCCTTAATCTTGGAGGACAGCCAAGTTTTCTCCAACACGTCCTTTCGGACCCCATTAGAATATTGGGCTGGGAGCACTATGTTGTCAGCCCAGAAGCGTGGTTCTGATGCCCTCACACAGTCACAGAACAGGATGAGGCTTCCTTGAAGTGCCCCAAGGCATCTGCCTGGACATGGAAGGCAAGGGAGGGGATAACAGTGGGTGCCAGCTCCTTCTGAAACTCAGCTCTGTGCATAACAGGGAATTGACCTTTTTGAAGGCATCCATCTGTCCCAGTGAGAGCTCCCAGGTTCCACTTGCCAGGCTTCCTTCCAACCACCTTCTCCATGATGATTGCTTGCAGCCTTTTCTCCGTGACCGCTCCCCCCACCCCCCCCCCCACACAAAACACACACACACACACACACACACACACACACAAAAAAAAAACATCTTAGAACTGAGCATAAAACTTCTCAGAGTTGATGAAGAAGAGTAGTAGTTTTTTCCCAGCTCTGGTTTGCTAATCTACTCTGAGACTTTGTTTCCTTTTGCAGGAAATGGAACCAAGGGCCCTGGCCCTTTCTCATCTTCCAAAGGAAGAAAAGATGCTTCCTGAAGGTTAAAAAGGAAACCCTTTGTAAGGAACTTGGGCACACACTCCAGGGGCCAGGCTGAATGCTGTGTCAGGTATTATTAGCAACCCTACACAATAGATGTGGTTTAGAAATCTGTGATATATGTCCTAGATAGAGATGAGATGTTGTAGAAATGTATGTCTTAAGCATGCTTGGCCTATGTGTCCATCTCCATGAGCTGCACAAAGGCAGAGAGAAATCCCATATTTGCACTCTTGCCATGTCTGTCTTCAGGTCTGTTTACTTATCTCTTCCTCCCCCATTCTAAATATCTCATATATTTAATGTAAAAAACAAAAAACAAAACAAACAAACAAACAAAACAAAAAACACTGACAATCAGCACTGAATTCTCAGGAGTACTTCATAATTAACTGATTTTTGTTTCTGTGGACGTAGCCTGGAAGAAACGATGGTTTTATACAGGCTGGAAAAGACTGTTTTATACCTTCTTTAGAGATTTTTGGCTTCCCTAAAGCAACCATATAGGTAGAGATCCCTAAAGAAGACAAATAGAAACTTGTTACCATGCTGATTTCAAGGGAGAGAATGAGGTCTTTTCATTTTAGAGAGAAGCACATTACTCATCAATTGACACAGAGGGCATATGTAATTTGACCTTTATAATCAAAGACATATACTAGTGAGGTGCCCTTAATGGGGATGAGCCTTGCTTTATGCAACATCTGTATTACTGAATCCTGTGTGAAGATTAAAAGCTATTTTAGAAATTGCTTCAGGATCTGGCTATTTAAAATAACTATTTATTTCCTTTAGACTCTCTCTTAAGGTACCTTATGGAACTTGGAACACAGCAGGCTCTTAGTCAAGTTAAAAATGACTTTGAGTCCAGTAGTAGTGACAATAGCAGCAGCTGTGGCAGCTCAGAAAGTAGTAGCAGTCTTCTCTCCCCAGGGATTGTATGCTTGTTTGAACAGAGGAGGAACCGAGATAAGCGGGAGGACTAGCATGGGAACTGGGGTTGTGGGGGGAGACTCACATTTCAACCAAGCCTGGCAAAAAGACCCCCAAAAGAAAGTTTATTTTAATTCAGAATGAGCTGGGCAATTAAAAAGCAAAGGCAACTTTTCATGAGCTCCATTCTGATTTTATTCAAAACACATGTGGATTTGATACATTAATAAAGTCATAGCATCATAGCAAAACTGATCAATAGGCAAGCCACCTAGATGCAAGAACAAGAAAACAAGTGTTTCATGCCAGTGAGGGCTACTATAACACACACACACACACACACATATCCCAGCCATTGTTTCTCTAGCCTGATTATCACCACCCACCTCTCAGCTCCTAGAATTGAGTTGACCAAGGATATAAAGGAAGATTCAGAATAATGGGAACCTCAAAGGGTCTAAACAGCCAAATTGAGGTTGGAGTTATGCCTACTGGACTACTTTAGGTTATTACCTGGCACCCAGTGATCATACCACAAGCAGCTAAGGAGAGCTGAGGAGAACTATGGTTGATGGTGCAATTTCAACCACGAAGCTTGACTGGTTCCCATCGTCAGCTGGTCATTTTCTGTGGGTACCAGAAAAATCGCCACTGCATCAGGGAGCAAAACTGCTATTTGTCTTTGTTATTGTTTCCTTCCTATTCTGCAACCTACTTCAGTTACCAAACACTATATAGTAAGTGTTTTCCAATATCAGTAAGACATTTTTGATTACATGATTTTAAATGGATGGAGCATCATTTATTTACCATTCCATATTATTGAATATTTTAAAGGTTTTTAATTTTTCAACATTATAAATAACACAATGAGCTAAATCTTTGCATCTTTATTACCATAGGATACCATATTATGGTGGAATTATTGGTTCAAAAATTCCAAATATATTTTTCTGATGAAAAAAATTTTTCAACATGTACAAACTGAAATATCTTAAGTGTACATAGTTGTAGAGGGCCAAATGGGAAGACACCTGGACGTTGTTTAAATTGCTGCTGACTGGGCCCTGGATATTGGCGGAGTCATGTCAGTTGCACTCCCGCCCTGGGAGTGCGGAGATGTTCTTAGTTCCTGGCTTGTTTGTCCAGGAGGAAGGAGTGGGTGGGACCTGGGCCCTCCCAGGCTTCTTGTTTGCCTTTGAAACCCCTTTGTGGATTGGAGAATAAATAGATGTGCTGCGTGGCTTAGGAGGTCATCAGTCTGCCTCTCCAGCAGAGGAGGTCGGCAGCCCTCCCAGCTCCCAGCTTAAAATCTATCTCTGTGTCTTCTCTCTTTATTTCTAATATTTCTCAATCCCTGGCCGCTTCCACTTAGAACCGGTTCGTTCATCTCTCTTTCCATGCGGGAGTCAGAAAAGGAAGATCCCCGCCAGATCAAGCCCCTGCACAATAGTGATGCTTTATATATATATATATATATATATATATATATATATATATATATACCCCCTTTAACCATCCAGATCAAGATACTGAACCTTTCCAACATCCCAGATGGCTTTTGTGAACCACCTTCCCAGGCAATAACCCTCTTAGAGATAAACGATATTCTGATTTTTATCATCAAATACCAATAATTTTAAGTTTTTAATACATATTGCCAAATTGTCCTCCAAAATGTTTGTATCAAAATACATTCCTCCCAGGACCAGTTTGGCTCAGTGGATAGAGCGTCAGCCTGCGGACTGAAAGGTCCAGGGTTCGATTCCGGTTAAGGGCATGTACCTTGGTTGTGGGCACATCCCCAGTAGGGGGTGTGCAAGAGGCAGCTGATCGATGATTCTCTCTCATCGATGTTTCTAACTCTCTATCCCTCTCTCTTCCTCTCTGTGAAAAATCAATAAAATATATTAAAAAAAATACATTCCTACCATCAGCAAGTGAAAGTGCCTGGGTCCTCACACCCTCTTGGCTTTACCTGCCAAAGGAGATGTGTTAGTACTTAAGACACACCTAGTTACAAGTTAGAAACAGGCAGGGCCAGTCAAGAAGCCAACCAGGAATTCAGCTGGGCACTAGGCAGCCAGTAGGAAGCACAGTTCTAAGAGCCAGAGGTTGAGTGCAGTCCCAGAAGGCAGGCGACACTATGTCATAATCCACAAGTCCCTTAGCGACCTGCAACTTAGAGATCTCAGCTGTTTTCATTGTCCTATTCATTATTGGTCTCTGTTGCACATACCCAAAGTCTTCTTTTTATATAGCTATCAAATTTTTTTTAATGATCACTTAGTTATGCTTGGTACATAGTAGGCACTTAAAATACTTGGTGAATATATGGCACTTTTAAACTTGCTTTATTCTGCTTACT